AAAAAAAAACCTTAGGTGGTAAAATTGAAAACACATGCTGATTAATTAAATGCAAAGAGTTTAGGCCCAGGGAGGTGTGAAAGGTGATGTCTCTTTCTGAGTTGCACGAGAGCGGCAGCATTCGCCAGGACACGCAGGAAAGAACCGTATCTGGTTTCAGACATGTCGAGTTTGGGGATGTTTCTAGTCAAAGGAAACAGAGAAGGCAGGAAGACTACATGGTTCTGGAACTTCAAGGAGGAGTCTGGAGCAAAGACATGGATTTCTTTGGTTAGGGTGCAGATGGGAATAGAGTAAGGTGACCAGATTTTAACATTGGTAAACCGGGACACCATTGACCGGGGTGGGGTGGGGGTGGGGTGGGCGGTATTCTTAATTAAAAATTTGGTCTATATGGAGCAACAAAAATTTTCATAGAACGCAAAAATAGTATTGTAATATATTTTTTAAATTTCAATGTAAGTACAGTTTACAAATATTATACATTAAAAATTATGTAGAGTATTATTTAATTCTTTGGCATATTTCTCGTTTGAGTGAATTTTTTTTAGTAGATTGCTGTCGTTGTTTAAAAGGTCATGAAATTTTTCACAAGAATTTGTTAAATTGTATTTCACACATAAAATGACTTTCAGAGTCTCAACACTTAATTGTGATCTTTCTGATGTCCACACTTTATTTACCGTAAAAAAAACGCATTCAGTCACAGCATTAGTTCCTGGTAAGGACAGCACGTATCCCACAATTACTAGTGCATTATTGTATGGAACATGGTTTGTTTCAAAATGATGAAATATTTCTAACCATTTGTTCTTTATTGTGATTTTTGCTGATGCTCAAGATTTAACCTTTTCCTTATCAATATATATTTTTTAATAATGATACCTCATAAATCATAAGTGTCACTTTCAATGCTGGCGCTAGACTTTTTGCCGCCACTATAAAATATAAATAATATGAGTACTGTCTGCTAAATTCATGAAATAAATAAATAAATTGCTTACCTAGATTATCTGAATAGCTGATTTGTTGACATCACTTGTTTAACTAGCACTAGCACGCAATACGATGTGTATCGTCTGAGAGACAGCTACAAAATGTTTTCGTCGTTGCCACTGCCAAAAATGCCATTGTTCATTAAGTCCAAACAATAGTGGTCAAATTCTAACAACTGATCAACAATGCGAACTTTGATAAGCAGTTCTCGATAATCAGTTCTCAACAATTATTTGTTATTATTAAAGTTAACATTATAAAATTAACAAAAATAATATAAAACTCATATCCTGGCAAAATAGCCACATGGCAGCTGAAAACCATCCATTCCCTTCCCGTTCTGCCGTTCCCTAGCTTGTCGTACATTCTTTCCAAAAATCAGGACTTTTTTAAAAACACTGCAAGACACAGGACAAATTATTAAAAATTGGGACGTCTGGTCACCTTAGACTAGAGGTGGGTGGTCATCCCCGAGGGTGTAGGTAGAGCAAGAAGAGAGGGTGGCTTTGAACTGAGCGTGGAGGGGCTCCCAACTCCACTGGCCGCAGACAGTGCCACAAGGACCAAAACGGAGGAGTGAGAGGGTGGGGAAAAGCCCACAGGGAAAGGCGGCAGAGACCAAGGGAAAGAGAGGTTTAAGCAGGAATGGTGTTTCGTGCTGAGAAGTTAAACTAAGAATGGGAGATAAAAGTATTGAAGACGTCAAGCAAATGAGTTTTCTGCATTCATCCTTAATAATTACAAAATATGGGTTTCCCTTTAATTTAGGCACACCCACCGTGCTTCTTGCAAGAATAAACTGTGCAGATTGGTCTGACGTATGTACTAAGCAGAATGTTACTGAATTCCCTGTTGTGAAGCTGTACAAGGCAGGCAGGAACCCGGTATCTTACGCTGGCATGTTAGGAACGGAAGCGCTCCTGAAATTTATCCAGCTGTAAGTATTCAGGTTCACTCTACGATTTCTCGATGCTTAGGTTTGCACAAGTTCCGTTTTGTCTTGCTTTGTTGACATACTTTGAATAGGGTAAGGAGGATGCTGGAATTGAGATCACGAAGTAAGGAGTGATAAGGAATTCTGTGTACATTGCATCACTTTGGGGGGGGAGATAGTAATTTTGTTTAATGAGGCCTTTTTTTTAAATGCATAATATTTGTCTTTTTGGTCAGATACTTGATCTGCATAATACATTGTTTGCTAATACATATTATGTGTTTTATTTTCTTATAAACTGAGACAATTCTTAAAAATTAATCTTAATGTAGTTGTATATTCATCCAGCAACAGGATTTCCTGTCCGGTGACCGTAATGTCAGTCCGAGAAGCAGAGGAATATTTAAGTGGCGAGTTCCGTGAAGACCTTGCCTCCTCTGCCGGCGTGTCAGTGCTGGGACTGTTCAGCCCAGTCATGACAGCAGGTAAGTGGAGCTGAGCTTTCAAGTCCCACAGCACAGTGTAGAGTTAAACACTCCTGGCTTATTAGTCTTTTTTAAAAGAGTATCTTTTTAAATTATAGAGAATTTTGAAAATACAGAGAAGTTTGAAGAAAAAACAAAAATTTTATAATTTAATTATTCAAAGAAAAATGCTATTACATGTTGATGTAATTACTTCCATCTTTTTCCTATGTACCTGTGTGTTGCGTATTTACCATGTTTTAATATAATTAGGCTAAAATCGCTTGGGCATCTTGCTGTTTTTGTTTTATTTAATATTGAGTCCTATTTTTTCTATCTGATTAATGTTCTTTATAAACATGGTTGCATCTTTGTTTTTGTTTGGGTTTTTTTTTGGTTTTTTGTTTGTTTTGAGACAGAGCCTCACTATGTCACCCTTGGTAGAGTGCTGTGGCGTCATAGCTCATAGCAACCTCAAACTCTTGGGCTTCAGCGATTCTCTTGCCTCAGCCTCCCGAGTAGCTGGGACTACAGGCGCCCGCCACACGCCTGGCTATTTTTTGCTGTAGTTGTCATTGTTGTCTTAGCAGGCCTGGGCTGGGTTTGAACCCGGCAGCCCCCATGTATGTGGCCAGCGCCCTAACCACTGAGCCAGGTGCTGAGCCAGGGCTGCATATTTGATTGAATGAGTCTGTATTAATATAGATTATAATTCAGTGGTTTACAAACAATACTTATGCTTTTCCATCTTTGCTATATATAAAGAATATTTTTATTTATGAGTCTTTGTATGAATTTTAGGCTATGTAATAAGTATAGATTTCTAGTTGCCTTTTTTTCTTGTGAGTCTTTTCCATTTTTGTATAGCACAAGCTAAAGAAAATATTTTAACGAGTTTCTCATGAAATTTATAAGTGAGTTCCCAATGCTGCTCACTGGCTGGCTGAGCCAGCTTAGTAAGTTTGCTTCCTACAGTGTTTCTCAATCTTGTGGAAAGTATGTGCCCTTTTAAAGAAAGTAATCATGTGGTTACGAGCGCTAACGTGTCGAGCACTTACGTTATGAATCTCGTGCTGGCTGCTGAGGTACAGAGCTTTGTGTTCAGCATGGCTGGCGGCTGAGCGGCTGCTTCGCGACTCAGTCCTTCCATTGATGTTTCTGTATTTGAGCCACCGTGAACTGCTTGTGTGTAAGCTGAGCTGTCATTTGGCCTTCATCTGGCAAGAATACATCCTTTACCTATAAGTCAACCTCTGCTTTTTTCTCATTGACTACAATGATTTAATTCACTTTTGCTTCTTGGTTAAAAGATAGTCATTAACATAATCCAGAAAATGCTTCTATTTATGAAAATAGACATTTTGTTGTACTAAGCAAAATGTTACTATTCATGCTATTTATGAAAATGTGTATTTTCATACATTCATGTAGATTTATATAATCATAGTTTTTATTTCGAGTATGTCCTAACAAATGACCAAAACCTGATAGACAAATTAATGAAAGTTGAAAAGTAATGAAAGCACATTACAGAAAATAGAAAAATAAGACACAAATCCATCAAAATTGCATGATCCTAGCACAGACACTGTTAGAGGTATTTTTTTTATGCTTATAAGCACTTTAGATTTTGTGATTGCGAGTGCACATCATTTTACAAACCTGCTTCTCTTTTCAGGCTCTTGTAGGGCAGCTGCCTCTATTTACCCTGCCTTAGGAAGAAAAGCCAACAAATATTTATTCAGTAACTCTGTCTGATGGGAGTGCTGCGAATCGTATAAATATATTTAGAATACATTTGTTTAGGAAACCATAGTTTTATTGCATCAGTTTACATTTCTTTAGTAATCAAATGTCAGGAAAAAGACACAGATTTATTTCAGAACCACTGTTGTATGAGGTCTGCACTTAAATATTTATCTTTGTAATCAATTAATAATGAAGAGCTGCCATCTATTTAAATCTCTGTCTTCATCAATTGAGTCACATACATTATTTTCAGGGTCTCAGATTTTTGTCTTGTCTATGTATTTATAGCAAAAGAATATTTCAGTGAAGCTGGAAAGTACCTGCAAGGATATGTTATCACTGGGATTTATTCTGAAGAAGATGTTTCGATACTGTAAGTTTTTTGTTTTTTAATTTTAGGGTGGAAGAAGCTACACAAAGTCATGTATTGCTTGCCTTTATTCAGGTCATGAAGGAGGACAGCACAGCCACATAAACACTTTTTTAATTTCCTTCTAAGGAGATCTGGAAAGTACCAGACGTTTAGATTCTTGAGATATTCTTTCACCTTAGGCCAGAGCCTCCCCAGGGGCAGTCGGATTCAAAAATTTTCCTCTTTGGATTCTATTACCTGTAATTTTGTTTTTTTGGAGTTGTCATAGGTTTTGAAGAGTAAGTAAGAGAGTAAGTTTTGTTTCTTTTTTTTTTTTTGCAGTTTTTTGTTTTTGGCTGGGGCTGCGTTTCAACCCACCACCTCTGGTATATGGGGCCGGCACCCTACTCCTTTGAGCCACAGGCGCCGCCCCCATCAGAGTCTGTCTTGTTGATAACCCTGTCAGCTGAGAGGCTTCCCTAGGTGATCTGAAGCCTGAGCTTTCCACTAATGCATATTGTGATGTCTGCACTTTGTTCTGGCACCAATTAAGTTATTACATGTGACTGCCACACTAGTAATTTCACACAAAGCATTTTTCCTAGTTAGAGAGTTTTCTTTTAGGTTTAGTTAGCAAAAGTGGTTGTGGTAGAGGGTGGATTTGGGCCCTTGCTTCAGTGTCGGGAGCAGACTTTATGCGGGGAGCCCCTCACTTGAAGTCTGCGTCTGCCATTTACTAGTCTCTCAGTTCTGTCTCCTCATCTGTGAAAGGGGGTCATAATGCCTATCTCATAGGACTTTTCCAAGGGGCAAATAAAAATAAAACTAAAATGCCTAAGTGGTGCCTGACAGTTTGTCTCTCAAGTGGCCACCACCTTATTCAGCAGTGTAGCAGGCAGCCTCAAAAGGTTAAGAACCATTCATTGTGTTCCAAATCCTATTTAGACATTTTCTGGATGACTAAATTGTGTAGGAAAAGATTTAGCTAGATTATTTGTTACTCTGTTTTAATCTAGGTTGTCAAAACTCTTAAGCTTTCTCAGATAGCCTCGTATAGAAGAATAAGTTTGTCTGGAAATTTAGCTCATTTTTTCCGTAGCAGTGCGGCTTCTTCCCACTCACTGCCTCCCACTGTGACTTCCTGGCCTAACTTTTTGTGTTTTGATGACTTTTTACATTTTGGTTGTGAATTTTAATCTACATTTTTCTATAGGTCAAATAAATATGCTGCAACTCTTCCAGCCCTGCTGCTTGCCAGACACAAAGAAGGCAGGATAGAAAGCATCCCAGTAGCCGGCAGCCGCACGCAGGACCTCGTTCAGATAATAACAGATGCGTTACTGGAGACGTTTGTGAGCATGGTTTTTTTTCATCTTATATATTTTTTTTATTGTTGAATCATAAACACATAGATCATGTGTACATTAATGCATTTATGGGGTACAGTGTGCTGATTTCATACAGAGTTAGGAGCGCTCACGTCACACTGGTATGTTTTAGAATGAGGATGTCATTGGAAACAAAAACACCACCTGTTGAACACAGCCTTTGTTGATGCTCAGTTTCCAGCCTTTGCTGGCCCAGGGATGACGCTCTGTGAGCCGGAGATGCCCTGGCTCGCTGCACTCTGCTCTGCTGCTCACTCGTTATGTGCACAGATTTCTAGCTCTCTGCAGAGAGTTTACGTGTCCTGCTGAGTGTGGCAGAAGTCCACGGCACTTCATCCAGGGTGATGCTGGTTATTAAGCACGCTCATTCCAGAAAGCCAGTCTGCTTGGCTTCAAAGCCTCGATTTATTTCTTGCTGCCTGTGTGCTCACTTGTCTGTTCTTCATTTTGCACGTGTGCAAGCCGTGGTCAGAGCGGCACCTGCTGTGGGTAGCACTGTGGCCTGGGTGACCCAGGGTGCACGGCGCTCTGTGACGTGCAGGGTGAACCAGCGGCAAATGTACAGCAAGTGCTAGCCGCTATTTTTAGTGTTTATACAGATTTAGAACAAAATGCTGTCTTAGGAAAGGCTTTTTCTAACATTTTGTTTGTACTGTTACACGTCACTTGACCACAGGGACACATTCTGAGAAATGGGGCATCTGGAGATTTTGTTGTGTGAACAGGGTAGGGTGCACTTACACAGCCACTGCACACCTGGGCTGTGTGGTATGGCCTGTCACTCCTAGGCCACAGCCCTGGACGAGGTGTCACTGTGTTGAGTACCGTAGGCAACTGTAACGTAGTGACAAGTGTCTGGGTATCTAAAGATACTCACAGAAAAGATACAGTAAAAGAAGGTCTTGTCACCTTCTGAGATCACTGTCGCCCATGTGATCCAGTGTGCACGCCACTCATACAGTAGCAGGCCGAGGGCGGGGCAGCTGTAACCTGGGTTTCTAGGTTTCACTTGTCTGTGGTTACATCTGACATAGCTTGAATATCATAGACTGATTGATACTTCTCTGCATTTGTAAAGTGACAGAGGAGCCAGTTACCAGCCAGAAACGCTGAGTGAACGTCCTCCTCTGTGTCCTTTGTCACAATGGTCTTCAGGACCCTGCACTTTAAGCCCAAATAAATGACTGGTCTTTAGTAAGTCTTTTTGTGCCTTCTCTTCCCCTGTTACAGTTATAGGTTATAATTAAATCATTGAATTAATATTTTCATGAGGTAGTTTTCTAAGTAACATTTTTGTCTTTGATGACACATTATTAATATTCCCTTAGCATATACATAGTGTAATTTTAGAATTATTATAAACCTTTAACTTTTTTTTTGCATAACACAGAAAACTATAAAGAAGAAAATTATAGTCATCCATAACTTCACTAACCAAGTTTAAAGTTGGGAATGTGTTTTCCCCAAGATTTAAAAAAATTTTGTGTATATGTACATGTCTTCTCATAGTAAGTGTATTTTCATTAAAAAGATAGTTATGCATATTTTTTTAAATATCTGCATAAATTTTGTGGTACTAAGGAATTAAAAGTTGTCTTTAGTCTTTTTTAATTTAGGGAACATCCTTGTAGATAATCTGTGGGTGTGTCCATGATTATGTATTTAGGTAAAGTCCTAGCATTTGAATTGTTAATCCAAACTGCAGGCTCGTTGTTGATTAGTGATATGGCTATGCATGATCTGATGGCCAGCTGATAACTATTTCTGTATTGTCTTACCTTAGGTTTTTATCATTTTACTCTTCTGTCTTGGCCTATATGATAGATAAAAATTGGTACCTAGTATTTTTCTTTAAGATTATATTCTTTAAACCTGAGAAACTTTAGGTAAACTTGACTATTAAAATCTGTTTACAGTTAAAGCAGATTGATAAGCATTGTGACAGCGTTTGAGTTTATAATATTTTGATTTGTGGAATTCAACTAAATATTGAACAGCTACAATAAAAATTAAATAGATTTTAGAAATTATAGTTTCTTCATCTGGAGGGGGAAGGGAAATGGATGACCAGTTAGTAATAATTTTTTATATGGCTTGAAATTTTTACTTTAATAAATTGGATGACAAGCCTTCCTTGTAAACTTGTAAATTGACAGAAGTCTTGGTTCTTCTTTCCAGAACAGGAAAGACCAGGCTCCATCACTGGCCTTTTTTCTCAAATTCGTATTCCCGGGAATCATTTTTCTGAAAACATGCATAGCCATATCACTAATCTGACTGAAAACTCTGCTCAGTATTCCCAAGGGCTAGAAAATGTACGAAGGCCTCACCCACGGTCTCCCACCTGCACCTGCCTCGGTCTCCCACCTGCACTTGCCTCGGCCTCGCACCTGCACCTGCCTCGTGCATGCCCGAGCGTGCGTCTCTCACCTGCTGCTCCCCAGTGTGCCTCCACAGCTCCCTCCTGTCCCCAGGATGCCCTGCGTCTGGAATCCCTGCTCACGTACACAGGTCAGCCTGTCGAGATCTTAGTCTTTAGCCAGAGCCCAGTATCAGTCCCAGTATCAGTCTCTCAGCCTGTCCATGAGCTCCTCGGCCTTGTGTTTAGCTTGTCTGGTGTTGAGCCAGTAGACTTCCTTATTGTCAGACCTTAGATTGTTCCATGGATCTCAGCAGTTGGTGTGGCTGTCCCTCCCCTGCCTAAAGGATGAACTTTTGACAGCGGGGAAAGTGTCTTATTTCTCTGTAGACTCTGCATCTGGCATAAGTTACTTGAACATTGTAGTTGTCAGTGGACGTTTAAGTGGAGCAGTGGTGGGCCTGTCTCCCCGATGTTTCTGCTGGCTCCATGAGAACTGCCAGTGTTTTGTAGACAGACACGCTTCACTAGAAGGCTGAGAGATGGTAGTTAGACAACATAGGACAATTTGCAGAAAAGGGACCTAAGATTTTAATCACGAAAAAGGAAAGTATGAGACGATGTTGAGAGTGCAAGAGAGAGGATGGAAAGAAAGATGAGAGCTGGCAGAGAGACGCTGTTTTGAGAACTGACCAGGGCAAGGTGGGATACCAGAATTTGGGCATTTGAGGATGAACCAGTATTCCGATAAGTGGTTGGTGCCATTCAAAGGATAAAGTCTTTCATCTGAATTTTTAGTGTGATCCACTGAAATGGGCAGCCGGTGAGCAGGATGCCTGAGTTCTCAGAGGCCCTCTGCTTCCCTGTCCTCAGCTGTGTGACTTTTTCAAGTTGGCCTTTCTCTGCTGGTTTCCTGTCTGTGGGTTGGGGATTATTTATCTCATGCAGCATGGTTTATCTAGATCACAGGTCTTTCCAGAGAATGAAATAATAGCTATGGAACTAAAAATGAAAAATGGTAGAGGCTTTACTATTATAAGTCATTGCTATTTTTAATCCTAAATATATCAGCACCGTTTATTGCTCTTTTCAATTCTTGTTACTAACAGCCTAGACAAATTATCTGCTACAAACATGTTTTTAAAAATGAGGCCAGGCACAGTGGCTCATACTGTAATCCCAGCACTTGGGGAGGACAAGGTAGGAGGATCACTTGAAGCCAGAAGTTTGAGACCAACCTGGGCAATATAGGAAGACTTCATTGCCACAAAAATTAAGACATATTAGCTGGATGTGGTAGCGTGTGCCTATAGTCCTAGTTACTTAGGAGTCTGAGATGCTCGGAGGATCTTATGACCCTAAGTTTTCGTGGTTGCGTTGAGCCTCCATTGTACCACTGCACTCCAGCCTGGGCAACAGAGTGTGAGACCCTGTCTCGTAAAAAAAAAAAAAAAAATTACATATGTTTTCAGTCCTTTCATTTTATAGATTAAACTCACAGAGTGAGTGGAAAGAGTTTGCGATTTGCTCCAAGTTTCATAACTGTGACAATTCATGAACCTGGGCATTCTGAAAGAGAGACTAGAAGCGGGGCTGTCATCTGAGTTGGAGGAAAGTGGAGAAAGGAAATATTTCTGAGATAAAAAAAGCATAGAGGCCGAAAGAAAGATGCTGCTCCTCCCTCTGAAGGTTCAGTTCACTGAATGTCAGCTAACAACAGACAGATTGATAGCAGAAAGGCACAGAAAATTTTACTTTAGCACAAGAGAATCTCAGGAGAACGATGATCATCTTAAAATTAATCATAAAAATGATAAATAGATTTCTAATTTTTTACTAAATTCTTTCAGTTATTATAAACTGCAGGATGTGAGATTGGCAGTTGGATTTGTGTAGCATATCTTTATTGATTTAATTATGCTAAAAATCCACAATATTGGAGAAAGTAGAGTTCTATTAATTTTTATTGTAAGCAATTACAGACAGTAAAAGAGGGAACATATCTTTAAGAACATATCTTCTTAGCTTATATGTTTCAAAAATTTTATGTTATCAATATATATGTGTATCAATACTGTGTACTCCATAAATATGTACAATTACATGTCTATTAATAAAATTAAAGTATTTTATGCTAGAGGAAAAAAATAACAGGAATTTTATTTGCTTCTTATGTGAGTATTGGCTAGTTTGGTCCAGATTTTAGCATAAGAAATTATTAGAAATGTTACATTCTTATAAAAGGGGGGCACCTTTAAATTATTCTCAAATTCTATTAGCAGTTTCATTTCAAAAATAACTCCCTTCAACTTCAAAAATAAGCTTGAGATGGATAGTTTTTAGTTAGTATAGTTAAGTCTCTACTGACATGAAAATGTGTTTGAATTACATTCTACAAACTAACATTGCGTGA